GCTGATACCACTCGTTAAAAAAATAATGCATTAATTAAATTTGTGACTGAACTCCTTGGGGGTGAACTGTATGTCTCCTGCTCTGTTTTACCTGCATTCTGCCATATATTTCATGTTATAGCAGTCTCGGATGATGACCCAGCACATGTTGTTTGTTTTAAGATTACTTTCACTGCAAATTTGACAACATGCAAAGAAGATACCAATGTGAAATTTCTAAAGATAACTAGTGTACTCGACCCAAGATATAAGAATCTGAAGTGCCTTCCAAAATCTGAGAGGGATGAGGTGTGGCGCCTGCTTTCAGAAGCCTTAAAAGAGCAACACTCTGATGCGGAAACTACAGAACCCAAACAACCAAAAAAGAAAATCAACCTTCTGCTGGTGGCATCTGACTCAGATGATGAAAATGAACATGCGTCGGTCTGCACTTCTTTGGATCATTATCAAGCAGAACACACCATCAGAATGGACACACCTTCTGGAATGATGGTTGAAGCATTAAGGGACATATGAATCTTTAGCGCATCTGGCATATAAATATCTTGCGACACCAGCTACAATAGTGCCATGCAAACACCTGTTCTCACTTTCAGGTGACATTGTGAACAAGAAGCGGGCAGCATTATCTCCTGCAAATGTAAACACTTGTTTGTCTGAGCGATTGTCTGAACAAGAAATAGGACTGAATGGACTTGTAGGCTCTAAAGTTTTACAGTGTTTTGTTTTGGAGTGCATTTTTTTGTACATGAATTCTACATTTGTAAGTTCGACTTTCATGATAAAGAGATTGCGCTACAGAACTTGTATTACGTGAATTGAAAAATGCTACAGGTGTATTTGTTTTTTACAGTGCAAATATTTGTAATAAAAATAAATATAAAGTGAGCACTGTACACTTTGTATTCTGTTATAATTGAAATCAATATATTTGAAAATGTAGAAAACATCCAAAAATATTTAAATAAATAGTATTCTATTATTGTTTAACAGTGCGATTAATTGCGATTAATTTTTTTAATCACTTGACAGCCCTAATTATGACACAATCATATCCTAATATTACTATAAAAATATGGGAAGCAGTGTCAATAGACTCCATGGTTTGTTAGAAGATGACAAATTGGTTTGAAGAAGCTTATTGAGTAATTGCTCCATATATCAAAGCCAGTAAAATAACCTTTGATTCTGAATTCATGTTGAAGCTGGTGAGGACTTAAAAAAAACAAATAAAAAAAACAACAACCCTGATTTGAAATTGCAGTTAAATGATGGCAAAATTGATGTTGAGAAAGCATTAGCTGGACATTATACCATGTCATTTTCCAGCATGTGATCAGTCATCACATGCTAGTTTCCAGTCACAACAGAGGAATCCGTACTTATTCTTCAATATGCAGAAGTTTATGTTGAAAGGGGGTTCTGCCATCAGTAATTCATCTGCAAGCCTTGTTTCCATTATTTCAAAGTCTTGTTTTCCAATGAAACACTGAAAAATGTAACCACTATTTAGTAGTGGAAATCTCAAGTAAACGTCCTGGGAGAAAACAAGGTTATGATCGTGACAATAGCTGGTGTAGAATTACTGTTTTCATCATGTGGCTTGGGGCATTCAAAACCTAGAAACCTGTATGCAAACAGATAAAACTTCAGAATTAGTTTCTTCAGCATCTTAATTTAGAAAGTCTTGAAAGTATCCTCGGTGGATCTGAATAGTTGGATTCGGTGGTAACTGAATTGTGATTGTTGTTCACAGATTGTAATTTGTTTAAAATGATGTATTATGAAATAATATGGATGTCTTAACACTGTAATATTTTTAACAAATTTGAAATGTATTAATGTATTGAAATTAATCAGATTGGGTGTTAACATTAAAAAACTTTGTTTATAGTGACAGTTTTTGTGCCAATTTGGATTTATAAAAGATTATAGATAAAAATACAGTTACGTATTTTTCAGTATTTTGTTCTTTACCTTCCACAGTTTTGTAAAATTCAAGTGAAATACTCTTAACACTGAAATAAGTCAATTCAAAACCCAGCATCTATAACCTAGTTCGTTAGAAATTGTAATCTAAAATTGCAATAGCACTTAATTTCCAGTTACATCATATCCTTGTACAACTGACTTACATATTTATTTATTAAAGCAAGTAATTAAAAATAGAAATAACCATCTCACATAGCGAAAAACGCAGGCAGCTCAGGAAGTTTGAGTGATCCAACTCCGGTTTCCCTTTTCTACCTCTAGAAGCTATAGCCGCTGCCTGCGTTATCACGAGGTCCCTATACTGCAGTAGTCCCTTTTTTGAGCTTGGCGGCAGCAGCAGCCTCACTCTCTCAAACCCTGGAGATTGTTGGGGGTCAGGGTGGGCTCTGGATAGTGCCTGGGGACAGAAGGGGGTTAGCCCAGAGTAGGTACACAGGGAAGTTGGTGCCTGTATATTTTATGTATTTAAATGATGCGCACGCATTTGGGATAGCTAAGGGGAGTACAAAAACCATGATTTTCTTTTCTTAAATTGCATGGTGTTTTAGAGTGCTCACTCCTGATTTTTGAATTTTGGGTGTTGGCAATTCTATGTTCTTCTCCCATCCCTTGATAGAATTTAGAAAAAACTGTTTATAGTAGCTGGAGAATATTCAGGCCATTGTTTTGAACTTCAAAGCACAAATGTACTAACATTTAATGGTGTGTCTCATATCTCACAAACAGCTCAAAACAATGGCATTACCCAACCTTTAACTCTAGGACGCATTTAGGTTTTCTGGTTTGTTGTGATTATTTTTCTATTTTTTGTTTATTTTTAGACAAATTATGACTCATTTTTAGGAGTAAAAAAACAATTGTTTTTAAAAATGAAACCCATTTCCCTTGAGTTGTCTAAAAAAATAAATGGCCCCCCACTGGAGTTCCACGCTCCTGGAATGTGCTGCAAACAAGTGTGGGGAGCTTGGTAGGGCTTGCTGGCTCCCTCAGTAGGCAACTTTCAATATTGAAGAAATTGTACATTTTAAGTAATCTTGAAAATTCTGTTCTCAAATTCTTCAGTTGTACTTTGTCACTTTTAACCTAAAACAGGCAACCTTGCATGTTAGCTTCAGCCTAATAAAAGAGTATCAATGCTAATTCCTCCTTTTGTACTAAGACTAGCAAAGGTTTCCATTTTTTTGTAGCTTAAGTAACATGGTACCATGTGATTTGAGTCACCCTCACTGTTAATTAGCTTACCACATCCAATGTTAAAAGGTCAGCTAGATGTGAATCTTAGAATATGTAGTCCTGTGAGATAACTATAGATGTAGAAAAATGTCTGGTTTGAAGTGTTTGAACTTTTCCAAGCCTGAAATATTGTTTTTCAAGCCACTTAGGGGCTTATGTCATTCTTACAAAGAAATTAGCTGTGGCATTAAAAGGGTCTGTAGTTAGGACTATTGGCATAACAAAGCTGATGAATCCAAAGTTGTCAGCCTCCAGAAGAACTATAGATCAATCTGTCTTTGCTCAAATAGTGTCTCCAAATTAGTATCCAGTTTAAATGATGTGAAATGGAATATCCTCATGTGAATAAGTGTGTGGTTTTGCTTGGCATTTTGATTTAGTCTACCGTACGCTATTTTAAAAATATCTCGTAATGTTAGAAAACAGCTCTCCGCCAAGAAATCAAGGGGATTGTTCTGGGTACCAAAATATAGCGTTCAATTTTAAAAATGGGGGGGAAGCAGGCAAGAGCATTGTTAGAATTTAAGGTTCTAAAAAGAATCCCGTGTTGCATAATTATCCCTGAAACTAATTGTAACTTATAACCAAATAAACACATTAGAAAGTTCAGTTTTACAACAGAACAAGAACCACACAATTTTACCTTCTGTCAATTTAGTTGTTTAAATTAATGTACATTAAGTGTTTGAATAATCAGAAAGCATGTGCCTACTACTCTGTAGTTTATGCCAAGGTTTTGGATTTTAAGCAGCTTAATACATTGGGTACCTGCAGCCTTCATGTGAGAAAAGTGCTGCCAATATACACAGAAGATATTTGCTTCACAACTGCTCCTAGTATAATGAACCTGAACTAAAAAACATAATTTATCACAGTTGGCCCTACAAATCAAGAGACCCTGAATCTTTACAGTTTACATATGCATACAGTACCATAGAAGTAGAATGCACCTAAGAGCCAAGGATCAGTGATGTGGTACTGAATGAGAAATGTATTCCATGTGCGTCTTCATCAGTTACTCAGTTATAGGAATGGAATAATCAATCATGCTGTTCTCTTGTGCATTGAATAATAATCACAGGAGTCAGTCTGTCAGGCGCCAGATTAGGAGTTGGTAGTGGTCAAGCTGCTGACCTATTTAAATGAACATCTTACTTCCATATTATGATCTCATTGAATATACTGTAATGTTTGCCCCTCATGCTTTAAATACGGCTTATCTCAAACAGTGCTGTGATACACAAGAATCGGAGCTTTTTCAGGGCTAGAATAGGAATCTTATTCCTGTTGAAATAACAAAGAAGGGAATCATTCCTGATGGCAGCTATCTTGGAGCAGGGAAGTGAAGTGTGAATCCGTAGGTGTGGTAACACAGCTTTTATTTTTATTTTTAAATGGGAAAATCCATTTAAACGCTGATGGCATCAAAACTTGTATTCAGCATCCTCTGATGTCACTGTGCTTACCTTGCAGGTAACATTTTAGTGACTAAGGTTTTTTTTGTTTTTTAATGTTGTGCATGGTAAGGCAGAGACTGGAATCCTAATACCCATCAAGTTAGTTTACACTAATTTCCCACTTTCAGGAGTGTGTGCTTTGTTAAATAACTTCATGCTTAGACATTCATTTAATAATTATATAATAAGTATAATTTGAAAAATATAAGTGGTGGTTTCAGGAAGTCTTAAAATTGCACAAGTGGCTTCAGTTGCTCTTTCGTAGACAAATCACTGAGTAAGATGTTATCTTAAAGTGGATTTGACTTATCTTTCCAGATACAGTTAAAAAACTTCAGGACCAAAAGCATGACATGGAAAGAGAAATAAAGACTCTTCACAGGAGGCTACGGGTAGGTTAACACCTACAACCCAGTGTGCAACTAAGCACTAAAAGAGGTGGGGGACACACCGTAAGAGTGGTACATGAGACATCACCCAGCAATAAAAATATATAGTACAGTCTGCCTGTCTTTCCCTGCACACTGCTCTAAAAATATTCCAGAAATGTTTCAAGGCTGTATAAGAGTGTTGGGATTTCAATATGTAGAGGTAGAAACTGGTCTTACTGGGCATTATTGGTGGTGTTAGATACCAAAGACAAAGCACATGGCAGACTTACTAATGGGCGGGAAAGTGAATATTACTGTGTTTAAAAGCGTTAGAATAATTCTGGGGAGAGGGGCATCAGCTCAAGGATGAAGTTAAATGCTTCATCTTGGGATAAATTTACTAAACCATTAAAGAATTAACTATATCTTTTCTTTTTTTAGAGAAAAGGAAATTTTAGGACCTCCCCAATGCTCCTGCTCCAAAACCCCAAAGCTGATTACTGATGAAATTATCTTCATATTTAAGATTTGTAACTTTAGTGTTTTACTTTTGGACTGTCAAATATGAGTACTTTTACCACCCACTTAAATCTTCCACTCTGAGAGTTCAGTGGAACTTTGCATCAGGATAATTCTTTGATTTCAAACTCCTTGTTGCTGCTGTTTACAGTTTTGGTTATTTATAGGAGGAGTCCGCAGAATGGCGTCAGTTCCAAGCTGATCTACAGACTGCCGTGGTCATAGCAAATGATATCAAATCTGAGGCCCAGGAGGAGATAGGGGACCTAAAGCGTAGACTGCATGAGTCTCAGGAGAAAAATGAAAAGCTCACTAAAGAGCTGGAAGAAATAAAGTCACGCAAGTATGTTAATGAAAACGGAGTTATGTATTTTTGTTGCTTTTACACAATTTGAGACGTTAATTTCTTAACTGTCACTGTTGAGACTCATGGAAAGTCACAGAGCGAGACTGTCATTTTGAGGCAAGATCATTTCAGCCTAAGATCTCTCTGCATACTTCTAGGAACAATTCTGAAAGAATGGGCAAACCTATAAGAGAGGGGTTTTTTTCATAGCTGGCTTTTTAATTTTCTGCAATGGAGGAAATGTACCTGTTTTGGCACTTTCGCACAGACACAAAAAGGAAAGTCATTTGTCTGTTTTTAGTCCCAAATAAGAGTCCATGACTTGGGCTTAGCTTCCCTGAGTATAGCATGGAAAGCAAGCAATGAATGTCTCTCTTCTGTGCTGTTGCAAGTATATTTTGCTTAGCTGCCAGGCTCTTTAGAGGGGAGCAAAACACAAGCTTATCTTACTATGGAGAAGAGAGGGTTTGTTTCTTGACAACTAGGCTACTCAGATAAAAGATGTTAGATTCTCACTTGTGACCTGTTATAGCTTGAATTGAGACAGAAGTCCCTACTTAAACCGGGGCATTCTTGCAACTGGTATTTGATTTCTACTTATGGCCTTGATTTTTTTGAGGCTAGAGTTTACAAATGACTATGATCAGTCAGTTTCAAAGGAAAGGAGTTTGTCCCAGTCAGATACGTCCCAGTCAGATACGTAGTGCTTAGTTTCTTTGGAGCAGGGGATAGTCTTTTTGCTGACTTTATACAGTGACTAGCACAGTGGTGCCTGTAGTTGCTACTGCAATACTTAATTACTGCAGTAATTAATTTTTTTTCCAAAAATACCATCAGAAAATAATCTTAGTATTACTGCATAGCTCATTCCATGAACTTCCAGCAGTGTGCTATTTAATATAATGAGAAACCAATCACTAAAAGCCTCACCTATAAAAGGGACTTTCCTATATATTGAACAGAAGCCGAAACAGTATGCTTCTTATCTAAAATTAAATTATGCTTACGGCACTTTGGAAAACAGGCAACTAGGATTTTCTGCAGTTGCTGTCAGCTTTCTTCAATAATAAGCCTTTGCCTCATAATCAACTGGTTGTGGAGGTTTTTCTGTAGTAGTGATTTTTCAGTGATCCCAATTACATCAGTCGGGCATCTTCCAAAAAAACACAAAATTCAGTCTTCAATGAATCCCTAGCACATACAGCATACAGCTCAGACACAATCCATGTTTTTCCCAGTCCTGCCAATCTACCTGAATCCTGACGACTAGTTCTCTCTAGGAGTTGAAGAGTTGTTTGGTCTCCATGGCTATTTGGTCCTTTTGATTCAGACTGGAGACTCAGCAGTTACAATTACGATGTTTGTGATGTGTATACATGTTCCCATTATTAAAACCTTCGATAAAGTGCCAAGTAAATTAACACTGATAAACACTTCGTAAATACAGATATAAATCTTTGAGGCAGGGAACACCTGAACACCAGAGTGGGCTGAGAGAAATTATTTTTGCAGTGGAATTTTGCACAGGCTGCATATGTGAGATGTAGAGAGCAGACTGGAGGAGGATATAATTGAAAATAAGAGATGACCTGGATGGTGAGGGTAAAGCAGATTAATCTGAAGTGAAGCTACCAATTTGAATAGGCTGTCAGGTAGTAAAACTCCTGATTACTATTGGCCTAGGAGATACTCATACCAGGAGTTTAGAGAGATTAATGCCTTAAGTCAAAATGTCGTAGCACCCACATTTGATAGGAATGTCTAACCTAATCTGTGAATTTTCAAAATAAGAAGTTTGCAATTTATGCTTTGCATTACAGGGATCCGGCATCTCTAGAAAATCTGTTCATTAAGTTGAAATGAATCAGACTAATTGTGAGGTGTTTGAATCCCCTTGTTGAAGCTAAGGCTTGACTTTGCAATATCAATTCACTACCCTGGTGGGTAAAATATATTGGAATAATAAATGTACTGGCTGCAAATCAGCTAGAATCGATTTTTCCTTGGAATCAGTGTTAACAATGTAACAGAATCATCTACCAAATGTCAACTTGAAAACAAGTCTTTTATGCAGTAGTCACGCTTTCGGATGTCGGAAGCCTATTGCTTGGTTTGTTCTGATACTGATTCCAGAAGGGCTTTCTAAATCCATGTAACTTGCAGATAAATAGGTAAAGGAGGTAAAATAATCTACCGGTAATTGATTTCCTAAGAACAAAGAACTCAAAGGTAACTGAAAATGATTCTTTAAAAACTTGTTGTAAGATTCCAAAAGAAGAGAGACGGTATAGCTGCTGTTGAAAAATGTAGTTAGCATGGTATTTGATCTGAAACTGAGGCAATGAATAACCCCTCAGATCCGCGGAGGGGGGAAAAGGGGGAAGGCAGCTTTCTCCAGACAGAAGGATGGTTCCTCCATCAGAGTGACAGTGAATGTCATAACCAACATAAACTTAGGTTGAAAGGGCCCTTCCATTCTAAAACCTGTGTCCTTTGGGTTGCAACTAGAGTTTAGTCTCAATTCAAAGCTGAACTTTAAAAATATATTCCTCCCCCGCCTCCCCAAAAAAGGCATAAAAAAGTTTGTCCCTTTCAAAAATAATTGTAAAGGTGTTTCTTATTTTGATGATTTCAGTGGATTAGTTTTTAATCTATGGCAAATTTGAAGTTTAACTCACTAGAAAACACAAGACCCTAAACTTGACTCTTGATAGGTAAAAAGCCTTTCAGTTCACTTAGGGTCTCTTGTTGACAGATACTAAAGAAGTTGACTGGTATTTAAGGCTGTTAATCTAAACCTAAATTACAACAAATAGCAAAATAGGTTAATATAATGAGTAGAGTTATGAGCTCAATTCCTGTGTTTACATTTAAGCCTTTTGACATAAAGAAAATATTTTTCTGATGTGGCTAAGATGGCCTAGCTTTTGTTTACAGGCAGGAAGAGGAACGTGGCCGGGTATACAATTACATGAATGCTGTAGAGAGGGATTTGGCAGCTCTGAGACAAGGAATGGGGCTGAGTCGCAGGTCATCCACTTCCTCGGAGCCAACTCCCACCGTAAAAACACTAATCAAATCCTTCGACAGTGCTTCACAAGGTAATTACTTCTAGCCAGTGTAGTAGCTATACAAAGTTAGAGGTTTGTGTATGTTAACATGTATGCTTCTGATGTTCTGGCTGATTCAAAATTCAGCTGGATGACACTACAATAGCAAGATCTGAAACAAACCCACGTACACTAAATTACATTACTTGGGTACATTACTGTTAAGTAATTATCCTTTCTCTTCCTCTTTTCTCCTCAACCCCAGGGGTTGAATGTTCTCTATCCCTCACTGTCACTTACCTAGTGATTTGGACACTAGAGGCTTTGTGATTCAGCACTGTCACTCAACAGGAATATAATACCAATTGTACACTCAGCTGTGTCCCCAGCTTAAGAATATATTCAGTACTCCCATTAAGACACTGACATTAATACATGCCCCCAAATGAGCGTCCTAGAAGCTATATAATGACTAGCACCAAGTTTTTAAAAAAAAAGCCTGAGCTCCTAAAATCCATATTTTAGTGCCTGTCAGAGAACTGTCGACCCTACTTCTCCCATTTACCTCAGTGGGAACTATTGGGCACTCAGCACTTTAGGAAATGAGACGTGTAGATTTAGAGCCTGACTTTAAGGTCCTGTTTGTGAAGTTCTTATACAAATTTAGGGCTTATCTACATGGTGAAATGCATTTTCTGGGCTTGTGATTTCCAAATCACACTAATGCATTGCGCATTAATTAGTCTGTGTAGCTCCTGCTGGTATGTACTACCTAGTGCACTATACCAGTGCTTGAAACAGTATTACATTAAATTGTACTAGGGAACCTTCAGTATGCACCAGTAGGGTCTACACAGACCAATTAACGTACAACGCATTAGTGTGCTTTAGAAATCACATCCCCTGTAGAGAACATTACCCCAATGTGTAGACAAGCCCTTAGTCTCATTTACATTAAGACAGCTTTACGTTGCTCTGGTAGTATAAAGGGGCCTTAATGTGGGTGTAAATTACATTTTAAATTACATTTACATGCACTTTAAGGTCCCTTAGCGGTACCAGAGTGATATAAGCAGCCGTAATGTAAATGGCAACCCACTTTTATGCTCACCGCCTGAAGACCTGTCATATGATTCAGTATAATCTATAAATTGTATGGAGATTCTGTAGATTGTCATATTTCTACATTTGTGTTCTCCCTGTTAGTGTTTGTCTTTGTCGCTTTCAACCTCCTCAGTTCTAATTTGAGGGCTGTTCATGTTTTTGTTCATAATAATTGTGCAAAAAATTCTAGTAAAAGGAGGAAGTAACATGAGTGAATCAGCAGAAAACTTGCTGATCTGTGGCTTTGGATAAGGATCCGATTGCTCAGACAAATAAAAACTATCCTTCTGGTAAGAAATTTACATCATTTGCTAGTCATGCAATTAGGGAATCAGCTGACTGGCTTGGCAAAATGAGGTTTATACACAAGTTGATGGCACTTCTATCTGAAATTTGGAAAATTTGGAGGGGGGAGATGAAGGGGACTCTCAGTTCCTTGCATCTGGTTAGCAGACCCAGCAACTACAACTACCTCTGTGATAGTTTGTAGATGAAATAACTGGTTGGTGGCAGCCGTTAACATCTTCCAGCAGAACAGTATCCCTTATCTTAGCTCTAGCCTTTTTCCCAATATAGTGTGAAAATGCTAACTCCCTGAATGCTTCTCCAGAACAGAAAGAAAGGAAATTAGAATGGTGGAGTGGTAATAGGTGGCATGGTGGGTGCAATGGAGGTGTTCACAGAGCTCCTACCATGTAGGGAGAGGAAATAGGGTTCCCTGGTGGTGGAAAATGGGAGACCCTGATATGGGGGTTAGTAGGGAATGAGGGGGGCACACAGCCCTTGGCATGGGTGGTGAAATGGGGGTGATGGTATGTGGGGAGGATGACATGGGGGATAATCCAACCCCCTGAAATGCGGCAGAGAGGTTAATGAGTGGGGAATGGAGGACCCTAGCATGGGTGAATGTGAGTTAGAGGCTCTGGCATGAAGGCTGGTTGCAGGGAGTATCTGAAATAAAGATGGATGGGTGGGTGTCACACAGACAATTTGTGGGGGAAAGGGAGGAAAGTATGGAGCCCCGATATGTGCAATGTACACTGCCTAGAGATGCAACGAATAATGTAACCCGCTAAATTAGAAAACCAAAGCCACTTTTGGTATGTAAAACTTCCAGTTAAGTGTGTGGGGGGGGGGGGGATTTTTTTTGTGAACAGCTAGATACTGTAAATAGTTTTATATGGTTTCTATTTTTGATATAGTGCAGGCTCATGTTAGGAGGTGACCAACATAGTACTCGAGCATTTTTGAAACTTTCAAAGTTGCTTTCCAAAAAATGAGCACTGCACAATGTAAGCAAACAAAACACTTGTCAGGTTCTCCCCTTAAACAGTTGTCTTGACATGTGGCTATATGGCCACTTCTCCATTTGACTGAAAACCATGGTGCATTTGGGATAGCTTCCTTTTTATTTTTCCATTAGTTCCAAGCCCTGCCACAGCCACAATTCCTCGCACTCCTCTCAGTCCAAGCCCGATGAAAACACCCCCAGCAGCTGCAGTGTCTCCTATGCAGGTAAGTGCATGTGATGGTATTTAATCCTTTGTTTGTCAAAGAAATCATGCAAAAGGTGATGATGGTATTATACAGACACTGATTGACTTTGTTGGCAACTGTAGTAAAATATTGCCTCAGGTAAATAGTTTCTGAAATGTAGAGTTGGACAAAGGGACTGATACAGCCTAAGGGCATTTTTAAAAAAATTATTGCCCTTAAAGCCCAATTCTGTTAGGGTGAAACAACTTCTCCCCCATATCTTACTGTTGATACAGAGGCAGTCTGTCTCTCCTCCCTCCCCATTTCCAAGGATGTTGTCAGGGCCAACTTTGCTTCCCATGTCGACAAATCACTTCTGACTGCCCCTTTAAGTAATAAGGTATTTTCTTTGGGGGTATATTATAATGAAGGAACATCTTATTGCACGCACTGTTTGGTTATGTGCCATCTTTAACCAACTGGAGTACTAAAAAAATTATCAAAGGTTTGTTTAATGCATGTGTAACTTGTAGAGGTTTTTTTGGGGGGGGATGGTGAGGGTGGGTCATTGAGTAAGAAACACTGAAAAACAAAATTCTATAGTCGGATACTAAGTATTCCTGTGCTACTGTGAATTGATATTCTTGTAACATGGAAGGCTAACTTCAATGTTCCTGAACCCATCTGTCAGTTTTCAGTCCTTTGTCTCCTTTGGGCGATAGTCATGCATCTGTGTGGGATTGGTCATCAGCCTTTGATACAAATTTATCAGTGTTGCGGGCCTCACTATAGGACCTGTATTAGAGGGATGAAGTCATAAGTTGGCTATTTTTATTCATTATATAGGGATACAGAGAGTTATGTTCAACGTGTTGATGTACCCTAGATTCTCTGTCCCCTTTCCAGCCTCCCACCCCTTCGTTCATCTGCAGGGGAGAACATCAAGTATCACAGGATTGCATAGTTATCAGTATACTGAGCATGTTGCTCGGTCTTGCTTTCTATGAACCTGGACACCATTGTTTTGTTTTCTCAGTATCAGGATGAGGTGTGGACGTGGACGAAAGCCAACAGGGTTAGGCTCAGAACAGATAAGAGTAAAGGTAGCAGTTGCTGGCAGGATGAAGCATTTTGAGGAACTGGCAGTGCTCATTTCCTTCAGTGACAGTGTATGCTCACTTATCAGTACTTCTTCTATTAGATTCAGAGTATCGCAGGCCAGAAATGCTACCAATTTATTGTAATATGTGGTGGCACAATTTTACAATTGTTGACGTGAGAGGAAGCACCTTTTTGAACCCTGGCTTGTGGCAGTGAAAGAATAATGTTTGAAACCTGTTGTCCAAACATGGCAGCATTTTATAGTGCAGATATTGATAAGTCATATCCCTTCACACTGAGACTCAAATAGCTTCACAACAAAAGGGGAGAAATTAGATGTTTTAATCAGAAAATTTGTTGTTTTCTGTGGTGAAGTCAGCAGTGAGAGTGTTTTCAGAAGACAGCTGGATCTGACTAGCTTTGTGTCAGCTGGGGGTTCAGTCGGCATTGATCTGCCTTTATATTTTTTTTCTTTGTTCATGAAATGAGCACTCTTAATCTCACATTCTGAAAGGCTAGACTCGAGGTTTGGCAACACCAAAGTCTTTTCACAGTAGCCTGAGGCTTATTTGCTTTATTTATTCATAAATTAACCATGAACCTCAGTTCTTTGTAACCAAAATAACATCTTAAACTAGTGGGGAGCTAGCGCATGCTGCTTGCTACTCTTCATTTGAGGTTCTTTGTCTGCCATAATTTGAATCTTGAATTGCACTTCTGGTGCACAAGCAGAATGTCAGAAGTGGGATGTTCTCTGGAGTGGAAGTAACTCCCTGAAAAAGGGACGTAATAGTGTAACAGAGCAACTTTGCCTCTAATTTCTTTTGAAAATATGTGGTTTTACTGAATGTGTGTAACTATGCAAAGAGAATTTTCTGTGTTGACCTTATTTATGTTGCATTATATCTAAACAGCCAATTATAGTGAAGGAATGGTGTAATGAGGTTCAGAGAATTTCCGTCATGTTACCACATTGATTTCTACTGTCTTCCCCTTCAAGGCACTAAATAATTCAGTTCAGCCTACTTCTTAGAATTTGTCTTCTATCAAGTCTCCCCTACCAGTGATGTCAGCCTTCATATTCTGTTCATTATTCCTTCTTTAGTTACAGTGGAAAAGCAAGATTTAAGAGTGTGACTGCCTGGGACAGTTCCAAGGTTGTCATCGTGGCCGTGAGATCTGAGTTAAGCTAGAAGAGTTGTCCACTGCCCGAGTACTGAAATCCTTTAGAACAAGTAACCTTGAGCTAGCACGCTAAAGATATTGGTGTGGCTGCAGTGGCACAAGCAGTAGCTTGGGCTAGCTGCCTCAGCACAATCACGCCTGACCCCCTGGTTCATACTTGGGTACCTCGCCTGAGTCACTGCCCATGCTGCTGCAGCCGCGCTGCTATTTTTAGTGACCTAGCTTGAGCAGAGCTACCACATATCTACGTGCTGTGGAAAGCATGTTCTGTGTGGCAGGGTAGACATCCATACCCTTGTGGACTCGGTTTCTTTGTGGTAACTGATCAAGCGGAGACTCTGGGTCAGTGTGACAATCTGTATGCCAACACAAATCCCATTTATACCCATCCTGGTATTCCGGTAAGATGGACAGACTGTCGAAACCAGGTTTTGGAGTGAGACCCATCTGCATTTATGACCAGATGCAAACATAGGCATACCTCCCTTAACCTCCCTTGATGATCCAAGTCAGTATCATTGTGTGATAGAACATCACAGCCCAATCATAGCATGTTGCTGTTTAATATTTTCAATGCAATATCTTACTGCACTCTTCCAGATCAGAAAAGGAAAGCGTTAAAGTGTCTCTCTTGTTCTTACTCGTATTCTCTCTTCAGTCCAGTCTTGGCTGTTGGGAGAGGTATTTCTCCTCTTTTCCTTCTTCTGCTGAGCTCCTCATTTCCCTAGACTACTGGTGTCTGTGATTTGATCCATTTTATCAGCACTCAAACTATCTTACATGTGTCAGGCATCCCTGGCAAATCTAATGTGTGAATATTAAACATTTTGTATAATTTAACATTTTTAATCTTACTTTATGCACCTATAAGGATTACAAAGCATAGTAATAACTGCAGCATATCTAGGAATCGTTATGACCTCCACTAAAATGCAGTCTACATGGTGGTGGAGTAGAGCAGCTGTTTAGCAGTGCATACCTAAGTTGCAAAACACTTTAGGAAAAGAGGCATCTATCTATACTTCAGTGTCACTTCAGTAGGAGGATGTCACCAACGTTGGGCTTAAATGCCAGTGTCATATTTAACTTTGCTGAGCAAACTGGGGTTATGTTTAATCTAGTATTTTAAATTACTTTTGACTCAACGGCAACATTCAAGTCTTACATGCATTTTCCTGCTCTGTGCTGATAAGTGACATCGGCAAGTGCAGCGCAGCCTGGTGTTTCATCCCTCCATTTTCACCTCAGCCGAAAGCACATAGGCAGAACGATAAGATTTAGTCAAAGTGGAGTATTTCTGTGATTGTCACTGTTTCTCCTTAAACTGTGATAACAAAAATTCCTCAGTTTCTAACTTTTCCCTCGCTCTACTGGTGTTTGCGACAATGGGAGCCCTAGAGTTGACTTGCTACTTATATTGTAATCATTGCCATCTAGCTCAAAGCAGGTCTAGTTGACAGCTGGCAGCCCTGTTACACTAAGGCTCCTACCATTGATTTATCTGAACTGGTGTTGACAATAATGGGGAATTTTTGCAAAATTTCCCATGTATAGATGAGGGTTCATCTGAATGTCTGAGTGAGGCACTCAATGTAAAAGTACAAAAGATATCTCCTTCAATGGGGAATTAAGTGTAGTATATTTCCCTCCCAGTAGCTAGAAAACTGATTAAACAGGGTTAAGAGAAAAAGTGAATACATAGTTTTTTCTTTTTTTCTTCCTGGAAAGCGCTATTTTTAAAAATGTATATTTAATTCTCGTGAACCTGGACTAATAGCATTAGGGTCTTAGAGTGTAAGTTCTTCATTGCAGGGACCATGTCTGCCTCTGTTTGTACAGCATCTAGCAAAATGGGACCCAGTCCTGATTAGGCCCTCTGTAATTAGGCTTTACTGTAATATAAATATATAATAACTTACAGATAAGCAGACAGAGATTGGTAATGTGTGCTGGCTTCCCCACACACTTTTTACAGCTAACCTCAGGTACTCAGGATTATGGTTTAGCGATGTTTACCAGTGTCCACCAGGGACTTAAAATACGATTTTTGGAGGTTAATGGTCTAACTCAGTCCATCACCATTCTGCCTCTCAAATTGAAAAAACTTTGTACATGCAGATTACTTTCCTTTTTTAAAAGGATCGGGTATGTTTCTATTTCTCTTTATGAATTGATTAGTAACTCCCATTGTTCTAGCCTGGGTGATTTCCAGGAAGCCTAACTTAATCAAATTGTTTTCTGCATGATGGATTTCTGTATTAACCTAAGAAAGTACCAACACCATAACATTTAAAATTAGATTTTTGATGTCTGAAACTGTTAACTTAATTATTTATGCTAACAGATAATAAGCAGGAGATCCTTACTATCTAGCAGAACTTTTGCCTTCAGCTTGGAAATGGCAGTGAGAAAAAAGTAACTGACACTAAATGTTCTTATTGTTAGTGAGATTGTGCACTTGCTGTTCCTCTCTTAGCATAGTAAATCTTATTTGTAATTCTGAGACCACTTTTTTGTTGTTAAACATATTAGGCCAGATTCATCCTTACTCCAGGGGTAAATTAATCTGTACTTATATTTGAAAGTAAATATCAATAATACTTTCCCCCCCACTGTTAGTGTTTCTAGGTATTTTTAGTTTTGTTTTTAGCTCTCCACTGTGGTTTAGAATAAGCCTGCACCCTCGCTGGCAAACAGCAATGTACATTTTTCTGACTCCCATATAGTATCTGGTATATTTATATCAAACTTATTTTTTATATAAAGAGCAAGTATAATTTTACTTCTTATAAATTACCTTTACTTTTTGGGAACAGCACTGAATGGAAAGTCCAGTTTATTTAAGACCGTGGACATCTTTCATTATACAGTTCATTCAAATGAGCCTGACTTTAATGCCCCCACCCCTTTCCTCCTGCCAGTTCTTAATGTGGTTTGAAAAGTGACCAATAGGAGCTACAGAATACAGATTGCGAATAGTCTTTAATATCAATATTTAACATTATGGCTCACATCTGTGCGCCCTTCATTGTCTATATTGAAGACGTGTGTATCCCTTTTGTCCTTTTGATAACATTTTGTTTTCGGTATTGTGGGCTTTGACTATTGACGTGTCCAGTTCCTCAGAACTGGCTTGTAGGAGACAGTTAACGTTACACTTAAAGCGCAGTTCTTGTGACAAATCTAGTCCCAACAGTGACTGGTGGGTTTTCTTTCGTTTTTTTTAAAGTCGGGTTCCGTACTGGTGTCTGATTCTATATCAAACAAGTGTAATTTACAAGTGTGTAACACCATCCCTTATGCTCATCATAGTCTCAGTCAAGCAAAATTGTTTCTTGCACCTCATCATGTGTAATTAAGGTTCTGCAGGGCAGATTATTCCCTTTGTGACACCTATGCTGCATAGAATCATAGATAGAATCATAGAATATCAGGGTTGGAAGGGACCTCAGGAGGTCATCTAGTCCAACCCCCTGCTCAAAGCAGGACCAAACCCCAGACAGATTAATTTTACCCCAGTTCCCTAAATGGCCCCCTCAAGGATTGAACTCACAACCCTGGGTTTAGCAGGCCAATGCTCAAACCACTGAGCTATCCCTCCCCCCAGGCATGTCACTGTCTTAGTAGGCTAGTACAGATGTTGCTGGTTGGAACTCAGTAAATAATTCAGTTGATCCATTTCCCCCTAAAATTTCCCAGAATATCTGTGGCCTGTCTCCATTAGTGCAAACACTGGTGGGATGAATGATTGAAAATTCTAGGGGAAATTGGCTAGAGTAGACATGGCTGGATATAATGGTATTGGCTCTGAAGTACCAACAGAAGTAAAAAGCAGAAAACCTAACAAACCTGTTTTATGACCAGTAGAAATGACAAACATACCGAAAGTTACCAGCTGAGTAAGACAGTCACTTTTCTGACCCTATCTCAAAGAATGTTTGTTTTTAAAGTACTGTACGTAGGAGAACATGGGGGTTGGGGAAGTAGTACTGAAACATGGGTAGGTGGAGGTGTGGAGCTGTGTTCCCTTGCTTCCAGGCTAGGAGTACTGTGGAGGCTCCATGTTTATATAGGCTTTAGCAGGAGCTTTCTCCTGGAGGTGGGGGAGGTGTCCACTAATGTGGAGTCTTTAAGAATGGTAGAATTGGAAAGGGAGGTCTTCCTTCATCCTCTATGCCAGTGGTTTTCAAACTTTTTAGGCTGCGTACCCCTTTCCAAATAATATAGTCTAATACGTTCCCTCATCTGAAATAGGGTCATAATATGCCTATGCTTAGATTGCCAAGTCTTACTAAATAAAATGTATTATCCACCATGACAGGATTTTTCTCACATACCCCCTGACAAGAGCTCGCATAACCCAGTTTGAAAACCACTGCTGTATGCTAAGAGGGCTGGAGTGCTCACAGGGCTAGCCCAAAGATAGGCAATGCAGCAGGTGATTGCCTGATGATCCTTGGTAGAGGAAAGTGTTTAAAAACAAGCCCTAAGAGGGTTTTTTTTTCTTTCTTTTTGTTTGTTGTTTTTTTTAAAGACGGTGAGGGGTGGCAGATCGTAGAGAAATAAGGGACAGGTTTAGGTTTAAATCTTACAACCCTTACTGCTGTACCGCCAAGAGTTTTGGCTTCTCAATTTTGGCAGGCCAGATACAATTATGTTTAATATTTGGGAGGGGCATAGCCCCCAGGACATCAGTGGGAAGCCTTGATTGAGTTGAGACTGTGTGTGATCTGAGTACACAGTGCCTAGCCAAATTAAAATGTATTTATTCCTCTTTGAATTTTATCCTTTTCTTTCAGTTATAGCTGTTATTTCCTTTGTAAAATAGGGAAATTCACTCTGACGTGGTGGTTAAAGTTTCTGAATAAGTGGAGAACATTAGCTTTTAAAATGAGCCATCAGAAGCAATTTCATGCATGGATTAGAACTAGCTCTCCCAGGGCTTACTTGATCTGCAGTTGACAGCATGTTTAAACGAAGAAATATCCATCTTTATAGCATTTAGGATCCCATAGATAATCTGATAATGAAGTGATGAAATACAATTCCTCTTGCTGTATTATGGGGGTTAGACTCCTGGACACTGGCAGTTTTCTCATTTTCTTGCCAATGCAAAAAGGTTGTTATATATGAGAGCCACGCTAGAGTCAATAGCCTGGTAATCCTGTGTATGCAAGCACATGTTGCGAACTCTATACTTAAGGTTTAATTTTTTTTATCATATCTTTGAGTTTAGCTTGTCTATATGACTTGGCATGAGAAGCACCTGAGCCTTTAATCTCCTGAAGATAAGGGGGCCGGCTCATTTAGCCATCTTATCTTAGCATGGGCCAGATGGGAAACTGACAGGATGTTCATTCAAGCACAGTCTCCTGGATACCATCTTTGAGGAACTACAGCAACTACTTTCCTAGTATTTTTCTTTGTAAACATTTACATATTTTTAGCTGTAATGAATCTTTACTCTCTGAAAAGAAGGAAAGCCAGCATTGTGTGATCCGATAGTGTTCCACCGATCGCATGCAAATCATGTGTGGACTATTGTTTTGGAACCAATAGGCTATATTGTGGAAATACATATTTATTCTGAAATCTGGATTTTGCATGCAGCATGTTGTCATTCCGCCACTACAGGTCTGAATCTGCCTTGTTTACAGAAGTGTCAATCTGCAGTATTTTCCAATGAAGTCATACACACCCACTGGATGCACACACTATTCTTTCAGTAGTTGAACAGTTTGATAATCATTCTCTACATTCACTGAGACCAGCTGGTAGTCTTTCCTGATTCTCTCTGTAAATTATTTGCATTATTTCCTGGAAAATTATATTTGGTTTCAAAATATCTAATGCAAGTTATAGTATACCTTCATTATTTACTTACTTTGTCCCTCTTACATTTAACTATCTGATCAGCCCACTAAAGAGTTTAAAATGAACATCCTGTCAGTTGAAACCTAACTCATTCTGAATAAAAATCACTCTTTCATTCAGGTTTCAATTCCTTGGTACCTGGAATGTCAAACCTACTATCGTTTGGTAAATAAGACTTAGGGCTTGTCTACACATAGAAGTTGCACCGGTTTAACTAAAGTTGCAATATTAAACCCGTGCAGCTTTGCGTGGACTCTTTTCACGTTTTATACACACAGCTGCATGGGTTTAATATTGTGACTTTAGTTAAACTGGTGCAATGTCTGTGTGTAGATCAGGTCTCAGGTAAAAAGTAACATTCAGGCCTTCTTTATATATCTCACAGAAGCAAAAATGAGCATGAATTCTCTTTGCATGTTGCCTTATACCAACCTGAACATATTTATGCCACATTCTGACACTACAATAAGGCCTGGTCTACACTGGGGGGGGATCGATCTAAGATACGCAACTTCAGCTATGAGAATAGCGTAGCTGAAGTCAACGTATCTTAGATCGACTTAGATTGACTTACTTCGCGTCCTCGCAGCGCAGGATCGACGGCCGCCGCTCCCCCGTCAACTCCGCTTCCGCCTCTCGCAGCGGTGGAGTTCTGGAGTCGACGGGGAGTGCGTTCAGGGATCGGTTTATCGTGTCTAGACGAGACGCGATAAATCGATCCCCAATAGATCGATCACTACCCGCCGATCCGGGTAGATCTAGAGGTTACTTGCTTTACAGTCCATTTTGATGGTTCCTCTTTATCTTCAAATTAAATATGTTGTTATATGATATCTTGCTATTTCAGAGGCATTCTATAAGTGGACCAATATCCTCCTCCAAACCCCTTACACCTTTGTCAGACAAAAGACCAAGCTATGCAGAAATCCCTGTTCAAGGTATGTATTCTACTTCATTAGCTTTACTTCTTGTAAAACTTATGCTACTATTGGCTTGTAATTGGTATCTTTAATATAAAGAGTAAAGTGGGTAGTAGTGCTTTCACCTTTTTTTTTTTATTGAGAAAAAATACAAATACCGAGCATGACTTGGACCCACAAAAACTAGGAATTTCAAGAGGCTGAAACACAAAACCTTGGTTCATTTCAGTATATATGTTTGTTATCAAAAAGATGCATGTATGATGAGGAGAGAGGCTAATTCTCATGAAATGTACATTTTTCCACTGGAGTTCAAGAATTGCTATCCCGAAGCAAATAATTCCTGGTACTTTTCTGAATATAGTAGCTATTTGCACAGTTAATCTGTCTTTAAAAAATTGCTGCCAAAGTTTATTAAACATATTCCATAGATAAGCCCAGTTCAAAAGGTTGAGGGTATCCTGAGCATCTGTATATTTTTCTTTACTTTCCCTTATAAAGACCCTTGAAAGGATTCAGTTTTTGTTTGTATGGATTTCAATAGCTACCTGTTTTGTTTCAGAGTGTTTTTAATTAAATTGAAATTATATTAATTATTCAGAACAGATTCATAAACGAAATCCTAATAGTCATATTTCATCATGACTTTTTATTGTTAATTTGACATTAAAAGAATTGTTAGCTTTTTCTACAAGTGCAACATGTAATTAACAGCAAATTGATTTGTGTGGAATGAACATTTACTGACCTTGGCCAGTTTTACATGCAACTCTTCCAGATCTAACTCGTGACAGTCGATGGCCTTTTTTATGAGCCACCTCGTTTCTGTCTCCTGAATGTGCAGCAATCCGCATTTAGAAACTCTTCACTTATGCAGCTTGCGCCTGCTATTAAATTGTGATCATTCCTTTCATTTTCATTCTAACAACTTTAGCTTGTAATATATCAGAATTCTAATGTTTCACTATCAACAGCCTTGTCAATTACTGTAAGTACAATTCATTTTTATAGACTAGTACCACACACAGGCTAGTACAGTGCGATTGGTTACCTCAACCATTCCCAGCAGTGCATTCTTCACCATAAACACTGGCTTCCTCCCATCAAATATTTGACACACTATATAATTAATATTTAAACGAAATTTCCAGGTGTGTATCTTCACTCATTAATTGTCTCATGGGTTATATAGTTCAGGCTAAGATTTTGTCATGGTTATTTTTAGTAAAAGTCACGGACATGTCATGGGCAATAAACAAAAATGCATGGAAGCTGTGACCTGTCTGTGACTTTTGCTGCTGCGGCTCCATGGTTTTCAGTGGCAGTGAGCTGTGGGGTTCCCCCTCTGCCTGTGGCAGCTGGAAGCTGCATGGGGGCCTCCCTCCACCCAAGGCAGCTGGGAGCTGAAGAGAGAAAACCGGACACTCCCAGCCAGTCTCCCGAACTTTTGATCTCTGTTAGTGGAACACAGAGCTCCAATGTTCCCATGTGTCTCTTTGGTAAATTGCTAAAAAAAAATATTTTAACAGGTTGTGTCTCCCATGTATGAATTCTGTAGAGTTGATGCTCATCTGGATTTTTGACAGAGCCATCCCATGTCCTGCTATCAGGATATGCATGCCTTTAAAGTGCCAAAATGTATTGAAGTCAAATGCAAAGCCAGACCAACATGGCACTCATGACATGAAGTCATGCTACTTTGTCCCAGAGGACTATCCAAAGTCTTAAAAAGAGGACGTTTATATGTACTTATTCTATTATTGTCCATGGTTTCAAGATTAAAAATACAGGGTACGCCATCACATGCAAATGAATTACATTTTCTTTGCTATGTTATCAGTATTCAAGAAATGCTGCTTTGACAGCAAGACAGAAAACTGAATTAAGTTAACAAGTGTTGATATCTCTATTTCCTAATAGTTCCCTGTTCTGGTAACTCTGTTTTGTCTGTCAAACTCTGTTCACAATGTGCCCTTCCTGTAAGAATGAATTGTTTTCGTATGCTGGGTGTAGCTGTCTGATTTATGCCTGTTTGGGAGCTTTTTTGTAGATGTTTTCTCAAGATAATCCCCATATGACTCCAAGCAGTATATTTCCTCTTTAACGATGTTTATATGCCAGACTTCTTTCTGTACTTTTGTTGAATGCATATTGGGGTTATTTGCTCAGTAAAGTGGGGGGGTTCATTTTAGAATACTTTGATTTTTTTTTTTTTTTTAAGTAAAATTGAAATGCCTTACCAAGTAAATGATTTAGCATCTTAAATTGTTGTAACAGAATACATGGGTAGAGATAAGCATTAGAAATATATACATTCTCAAAGTAATCCGAAAGGCTTGTTTCACTGCCAGGACCTGTGTTCAGAGTTCTTTGTTTCTCCTGTAAGAGTTAATAACCTTAATATATTAAGTGCTCATAAAGACAGCTGCATTCTTTACATTGTTTTATGCGTATAATATAATCAGCTTGTACCAGAGAGAGACAAAATTCTGAACACTAGGCATGGTAGGTAAGAAATCTGTTTACTTTTTAAATGTATATATTTGTATTTTTTACATCTGTCTATGTTGCTCATATACCAATTTCTGTTAATGAATTAGGTTCATTGATATTTTTTAAGCATTTCTGTTCATTTTTCTTCAAAAAAATTACTGCCTCTTTGGATTTTATGTACTTATTAACTAGATATTGCTGTATAACTCTTTAAGCAGGTGTCTTTTGTATACTCATTATTTTAAAGAATTTGATTTAAAAATTATTTTTTAATCTAAAAATTAGATCAAAATAGGTCTTATGTTTATACAAAATCCCATTTTATTGCTAGATTTATCTTAAGAAATTAATTTTTCATTGACTTCCAGTGTGCAGAAGTAATCTTTCATCATTTTAACATTTAAAGCAGTTTCTTGCTATTATGCATGGAATGATAAAAGACTGTTACAACAACAATGGATTTGAACTCCATAGATAGGGCCCTACCAAATTCACAGTCCATTTTAGTCAATTTCGTGGTAAGAAGATTTTAAAAATCGCAAATTTCATTATTTCAGATATTTAAATCTGAAATTTCAGTGTTGTAATTGTAGGGGTCCTGACCCAAAAAGGAATTGGGGGGGGGGGGGTCACAAGGTTACTGTAGGGGGGTTGTGATACTGCTACCCTTACTTCTGCACTGCTGTTGGTGGGCGCTGCTTTCAGAGCTGGGCGCCTGGCCAACAGCGACAACCCTCTGGTTGCCCAGCTCTGAAGGCAGCTCAGAAGTAAGGGTGGCAATACAGTGACCCCCCCCCCCCCAATAACCCTGCAAACCCTCCCTTCCCCCCACGCAATCCCTTTTTGGGTCAGGACCCCCAGTTTGAGAAATGCTGGTCTCCCCCATGAAATCTGTGTAGGGCAGGGTAAAAGCACACAAAAGACCAGATTTCATGGTCCGTGACGTGTTTTTCATGCCCGTGAATTTGGTAGGGCCCTATCCATAGAGGATGACAACAATCTACTTTAGTAGCACCTCCAACTTCCTGACTTATGGAGTAGTTTTGGCGTGTACTAAGACGGAGTTTCTTGCCCAGCCTTGTGTTTACAAGCTTCATTATAACAAATCATGGCAGCAGTCTACTAAGGGGTGTTGTGGGGGGATGGGTAGGATGGCTCCATGGTGAACTCTATAGTAACGGACAACCTTCGGCCTCCTTCTAGGCAGACATATCAATTATCTGTCACGGTAAGCTAGATGAACCGACTCTATCATTCATAAATGACGATCACAGTCTCCGCACTAATCACATCCCTACAACTGAAATCTGCATTAGTGTCGCATCTGTTTTTTTTCTCCTGAGCAGAACATTTGTTGAGAACTTCCTCTACCAGCAGACCAGCCTCATTGCCAAGAGTACCTGCCATGGAAAGTGCCAAATCTATTTCAGGTAATAACATGTATCTAGTTGCCTGATAAAAGCAGGAACCCTCAGTTTTCAGTGCTGTAGTTACATGCCCAATCTACTATTTTTAAAGAGAATTTCTGTCTTCTGACTGATAGATTCTACAACCACTTATCAATTGATGTATGCAAGCACCACTTGTTTGTTTGGAATTGTTTACTTTTAAATGTCAAAATGTAATCTTGCCTTTATACTTGAAAATAACATAAAAGCCCTTGATAAAACATTCTGACCTATTAGATTAAACAGAACTGAGCAGCTAAACTCTGTGGAACAATTTCCTCCTATGGCATATTGTAATAGTTGTATGTATACACTAGAACCAAGATTCATGCATGACTCATCTTCAGCCATCCAGGAAATGGGTATTGCTCTATAACCTTTCTTCTCAATGTTGCACAGAATTTTGACTTGCAAGGTACACAGAAATGTGTGTTACGAGTTTTTAGCTTTTATCTTTTGGATACAGGTTTTTTAAGTGATAAAACAATGGCAATACACTCAGACTTCTGCCTTATCTAGCTAATTTAATAGATAGCAGTTTAATATGCCTTTCATTATTCTTTTTCAGTTATATACAGGTCTTCTCCCATTGCAAAAAATTCCATCCAGCTTATTTGTTTTAAAAATGAGACTGCTAGGTTTTGTGGTAGCATATTATCATACATTAATACATGAAATGGTTACTATAAAGCATTTAAACATACTCCTTTATATGTCACTCCACAAAATTTGTGCTAACCATATAGCGGAAGTGAATGTGTTTGTAATTATTTTTAAAATGTGCTTCCAAAACTGAAAATATTTACATGAGCCACCAGTATCAGTGTCATTTAGTTTATATAGAAAGTCGAGTCCATGCTAATTTGAAGTTAAAAAAAAAAAAGGGCAAAAAAACCCCAAACCCTAGATTTAATAAAAACAAACCTAAGTAAAATATAAAACCATGAACCTATTTCTAAATCCAATGGATATTTTCAAACAAACCTTCCCATGCAATATGTGCAGCACATACATTGCAGCACTGAGAATCTGGAAATGGTTCAGAATACAAACAAAAAGTGGGTCTGAATATGTTCTTTTTACCATCCAAGTTGAGAGAGAGATGTTGAAAATCAAGTAAATAGTATAAATGGTGAAAAGTACATAGTATTTTTAAAGCTTTCAATCTTCTGACATAGGTAAGAAAATGTATTTAAATCAGGATTTTCAGATGTCTTTTAACCATCCAAAAGAGTGATATTTTGTAATTTTTATTTTAATGTCTTCCTAATTTACTGTGTAAGGTATTTATAAATTAACATAGTCCCTGATACGAGTAGAAATTAAATCTCTCTGGAAGTATTTGGAGCATTTTGTATTTTTCGGTCTTGCACAGATGCAATCAGTAGCTTGTTTGCAGGTTTAGGAAGCAAAACTCAGCTTACCTACATTTATTTAACTAGAAAGTACTCTATATAGAGGAAGAACATGCTACTACACAGCCATTCTGAGTTTTGACATACAGTCAGGTTGTGGTGTTGGCACCAGCAGGTGAAACGCAAACTGTTTGCCCTGTGGTAAATCACTATAGCTTTTTTCTGTGTAAAGTCACGGATTGTCTTGGTCACTTTGTAATTAAAATCTTCATTAGGCAAACTTAATGGCAGTCCATACTGTTCCAGGGTGTTACATGTGTACTTTTCATTGTTAATAAGAATCTCCCTCTGACTACTGATAAGGTCAGCTGTCAAGCTAATAGGATTCCTTCTTCACATCATCTGACAACTTTCACTCAGGTGCCTGTTCTATTTTACTGAACTTTTAATATTTGAACAAATTATAAAAAAAAAACAAAATTCTAACATCATAACTACTTTTGCATGGACCGTAAGAAAATATAATAGTTTGGTTTTATGTAATGTCTCCCCTACTCAAGACATTCCAAGACTGTTAAAGAGATGGCATAAAGGCATCCACTCAGCAAATTGCCCTTGCTTCAGGTAAAATTTAAGCATACAAAACTTTGGTAATTTTATCAATTTACCCCTTTCCTAAAACTCTTCACTAAGGGTGAAATATCAAGAATTACATGATATAGGCTTGTGTTTTTCTTCCTTTATGTGAGGTTATATATTTGGTTCTAGAGCGTTTGAATGTTCCCCCATTCAGTGTCTAGACGAAGTAGTGAAGAAATCAAACGGGACATTAGTGCACCTGACGGAGCATCTCCAGCCTCTCTCATGGCAATGGGAACCACCTCACCACAACTCTCTCTCTCCTCCTCTCCTACAGCGTCTGTCACCCCTACAACACGAAATCGAATAAGGTACAACCCATTATTACACAGTATGTTTTTAAACCAGTATTAATTTCAGAGCTGTGAAACACCATATTATGCAAGCATAGAATTTAGTCCTAGTATTAAACACCAACGTTTGACTGTTATCTTTGCAATAATGCTCTTCAGTAACCTCTGGAACTTTGCATAGACCGTTTGTAGCACCATAAGGCACGGTGTCTTGGGAAGACAGGTCCCAGGCCACTTACGGCTTAATGGGTCAATATCCACACCTTAAAAACTCCACCAGGAAACCAACAGACAGCCAGGACAGATCACTGAGCTTTGAAGTCGTGTGTTTGTAGTGAGAAACTACATTTAACAAGTGACCTGTAACATTCTGAACCAGCCTCAGTTTTGCGTTAATTTAAGATATGGCAATTTTGGCTCCATGTAGAACGTGTGGCAAAGGTATAATTCATTCTACTGATGCTGATATTTTAATATGCTAGAAAGAACAGCAGTCTTCTTTTATATGGTGGGATATCATGGGGGAAATATTCTTCACTTTTATAGTGTCTTCTATACAAGGACTCTAAACATTTTATAAATATCAAGTCTTACAACACACATGTGAGCTAAGTACATTTCACAGGTTGGGAAACTTGTCCACAGAGGTTAAATGACTTTCCCAGGATCACCTGACAGTAAAACTTCTCATCGACAAATAAATAAATAAATACATTATAACCCTGAGAAATTGTTTGCAGCTCTGGACGTTATCCAGAGCAATGATTTCACTGAGATTAGTTGAGGCGTACTTCAGCAGGCCAGACTTAGTCATTCATTGTGTGAAGTTCTATGCCTATGTACAGTTTGTCCATTTAATTGACAGGTAATTTACAAATAACACTAAAGAAACACAGTTTATTGGCAATCCCACATTTCGATTTTGAGTAAGGGTAAAAATGTCACTAAGATTCGTGTAGAAACATTAAAGTCTGAAGATTTACACCTGCACTGTTTGCAGACCAAAGGTTGCAATGAAAGCATGCAATTATGAATAAGGTATAGATGGAGAATGGCCGTCACAATAGCACAACTGCTCTGTGTGAGTATGAAGTAGAGTGGTAGGCCCTATAGGAAGAAAACCTGCTGCTATTAGAGCAGTGGAGGGGCAGTACAGTAACTCCTCACTTAACATTGTAGTTATGTTCCTGAAAAATACAACTTTGAATGAAACGATGTAAAGTGAATCCAATTTCCCCATAAGAATTAATGTAAATGGGGGGGGGGGGTTAGGTTCCAGGGCAACTTCCCCTACTCTGCAAGCACCAGGAGCGGGGGTTCAACCCTCATCCCGCCCACTCCACTCCTTCCCTCAAGCCCCCACCCTTGACCCGCCTCTTCTTCCCCCCCCCACCACCACCTCCCCCTTTACTTCGCACGCTGCATCCTGGCTCCTCCCCCCTCCCTTCTAAACGCCACAAGCCAGCTGATTGCCGGGTGATGGAGGGAGGGGGGAGGCGCGCCGAGTCCTCACTCCTCCCCCCTCCCTCCTACCAGGGCAATCAGCTGGCTTGCCGCATTCAGGAGGCAGGGGAGGGAGGGGGAGCCTGCGCGCCGAGTCCTCGCTCCTCCCCCATCCCTCCTGCCTCCAGAACGCCGCAAGCCAGCTGATTGCTACCAGCAGGGGAGGGAGGGGGGAGACGCACCGAGTCCTCGCTCCTCCCCCCTCCCTCCTGCCTGGGGCAATCAGCTGGCTTGCGTGTTTAGGAGGCAGGGGAGGGAGGGGGAGCCTGCGCGCCGAGTCCTCGCTCCTCCCCCCTCCCTACTGCCTCCAGAATGCCGCAAGCTAGCTGATTGCCGTGGGCAGGAGGCAGGGGGAGGAGGGGGAAGGCGCTGATCTGTGGGGTCTTCTGGCGGGCGGGGGGCGTAGGGAGGCTGCCAGCTGTGGAGAAAGCAGGCAGCCAAACAACGCAAGAGTGGCACATTGCACAACTTTAAATGAGTATGTTCCCTAATTGATCAGCAACATAACACTGTTAAGCAGGACGACTTTAAGTGAGGAGTTACTGTATAATGAAAAATAGTTGCCCCATGGGAATCCTCTTCAGAAGAGAACTACTGTTGGGTTTTTAATATATTGTGTGTAGCTTGCAAAATTTTATTATAGGATGTAAAATAAGGATTTTAAGAAAATAAACCTTTGCAAATATACACAATAACTGTGGGCACACCCCTGGGCTCCAACTTGAAACCATAAATCAATTCTTTGATTTGGAATACCGTTGGCCTAAAATATTCATTTTAAAATTTATAACAATCACAGTCCATTTCTTTTTGTCTCCCTACAATTAATTTTCATGTGTTTCCTTCCACACTGTTTTCATAACAGTAAGAACTTGATATAAACCATGTGCCTTACTGGAATTTGGGAACAGGCTGTACAGTTCACTCATGGCTACCCAGCACGTTTAACATGAAAAGAGAATTTTGACTCAGGTTTCTTATGTTGTCACAAATCTTATAAGGAGTTATCTCCATTCTTTTCTTAAATTATAGTGGCATTGCATAATCTTCATTCTAGTGTGAAAACACAAACTCCAAATTAATTAACTTAAGCAAGAATGTGGGTTGCTAAAGCATGTGCTGATCTGGAGATATAAGAGAAAAGTTAATTCCTTAACGCCCCAGTCTCGGAGCATAGAGTCATAGAAATGTAGGGCTGGAAGAGATCTCGAGAAGTAAAGCCTAGCCCCCTGCTTGCACTGAGGCAGGACCAAGTAAACCTAGACCATCCCTGACAGGTGTTTGTTTAACCTGTTCTTAAAAACCTCCAATGATGGGTATTCCATAGTCTCCCTTGGAAACCTATTCTAGAGTTTAACTACCCTGCTAGTTAGAAGGGTTTTCCTAATATCTAACCTGAATCTGCAGATTAAGCCCATTACTTCTTATCCCACCTCCAGTGGATATGGAGAACAATTGATCACAGTCCTCTTTATAACAGCCCTCAACATATTTGAAGACTGTTAGTGGGTCCCCCCTCAGTCTGCTTTTCTCAAGACTAAACATGCTCAGTGGTTTAACCTTACCTCATAGGTCAGGTTTTCTAAACCTTTTATATTTTTGTTGCTCTCCTCTGGACTCCATCAATATGTCCACATCTTTCCTAAAGTATGGCGCCTAGAATTGGACACAGTACTCTGTCTGTGGCCTCATCAGTGCAGAATAGAGTGAGACAATTACCTTCTGTCTCTTTTGACAGGTTTCAGAGTAGCAGCCGTGTTAGTCTGTATCCGCAAAAAGAATAGGAGTACTTGTGGCACCTTAGAGACTAACAAATTGCATCCGAAGAAGTGGGCTGTAGCCCTCTAAAGCTTATGCTCAAATAAATTTGTTAGTCTCTAAGGTGCCACAAGTACTCCTGTTCTTCTGTCTCTTGTACATAACACTTCTGTTAATATAACCCAGAATGATATTGGCCTTTTTCACAACTTCATCACATTGTTGCCTCATATTCAATTTGTGATCCACTGTAACCCCCCAGTACTACCACCTCACCAGTTATTCCCCATTTTGTAATTGGGCATTTGATTTTTCCTTCCTTAGTGAAGTACTTTGCACTTGTCTTTATTGAATTTCATCTTGTTGATTTCAGACCAGTTCTCCAATTGGTCAAGGTTGTTTTCAATTCTAATCCTGTCTTCTAAAGTGCTTGCAACCCCTCCCAGCTTGGTGTCATATGCAAGTTTTATAAGCATACTCTCCACTCTTATCCAAGTCACTAATGAAAATATTGAATAGTACCAGACCCAGGACTGACCCCTGTGAGACTCCACTAGGTATGTCCTCCCAGTTTGACACTGAACCACTGATAACTGCACTTTGAGTATGGTCTTTCAGCCAGTTGTACAACCATTTTACAGTAATTCAGCTAGACCACTTTTCCTTAGTTTGCCTATCCAGTTAAATATGACCCAGTATTTGAGTCTGATTCTGTTTTGTCTTTTAGTTCTAAAATAGTGTATATAAGAAAGTTGATTTCTTTAGTATAACTCTTTGTGAGATTGGCATTTATGTCTAAATATACTTATTTCTTTTCTTGTTTAGCATAAGTAGCTAACACGTTTCAAGGCACCATTCACTTTTCAAGGGGCCAGTTCACCTTGAATGGTCCCTTGAAATGTGTTAACTACTTGTGCTAAACAATCTGTTCCACCTTGTATTTAGCTGTGACACTGAGTACCTTTCCCAAACCTGAAGAAGAGCTCTGTGTAAGCTTGAAAGATTGTCTCTCTCTCACCAACAGAAGTTGGTCCAATAAAAGATATGTCTCACTCATCTTGTCTCTCTAATACCAATGTCTGTCATTTGAGTTGCCTGGTTCTGAACAACTTTGCATTAGGACTTGATATTACGCTGACTATTCTAAGAAACTCTGATTTTCTTAAATATTTAATTTGACATTGGAACATAATCTTGTTTCATCTGAAGCCAGAGTTCATTGAACTATTACACAAAGTACGTGGCATCTGGAATTAAATTAGATAGTCAAGTCATGTAGAATAGTCATTTGTACTGAGGTATCAGTGCACTTATGCAAAGAAATTCTGTGAAATTCAGATTTCAAGATTTTTTTTTTCCAGCAATGCTTGCGAAATAGTTACATTTCAGGGGCTTGTCTACTGTAGCACTTCAGTGTAGATACTATGTCAATGAAAGAATTTGTCGATCTACCTCATGCTGTTTACACCAGGGATTTAGGTCAGTATAGCTACTTCTCTCAGGGATGTGGATTCTTCACACCACTGAGAGATGTAACTGTACTGATGTAAAATTCTAGTGTAAACTAGGCCTATGTCTGCAGAAGTTCCACTGGAACACTATTTCTTGCTGGGGTTGAAATGGCTGGTCCTAAAGAACACAGAGCCAAGTATTAAGTAATTAGTATGAACTAGCTGTGTTTGGAAGGCGGGTGTCTGAAGGGGTAATTTTTTGTAGTACTGATGTGGGGATCTGAGAATCTTATTTAAATATGCATAGAATTATTTAAAAATAATCCTACTTTACCATGCAGAATACTAGATAGCCATAGCGTTATTTTTCTTCCAAATAGGGAACATTAGGATTAACTGCAAAATCTTTTGAAATATCCCTACCTCTGCTCATTAAGCTACTTAGAATGCATAACACCTCAGAGAATCATAGAAAATTAGGGTTGGAAGAGACCTCAGGAGGTCATCTAGTCCAACCCCCTGCTCAAAGCAGGACCAACCCCAACTAAATCATCCCAGCCATGGCTTTGTCAAGCCAGGTCTTAAAAACCTCTAAGGATGGAGATTCTACCATCTCCCTAGGTAACCCATTATAGTGCTTCACCACCTTCCAAGTGAAAAAGTTTTTCCTAATATCTAACCTAGAACTCCCCCACTGCAACTTGAGACCATTGCTCCTTGTTCTGTCATTTGCCACCACTGAGAACAGCTTAGCTCCATCCTCTTTGAAACCCCCTTCAGGTTGTTGAAGGCTGCTATCAAATCCCCCCTCACTTTTCTCTTCTGCAGACTAAATAAGCCCAGTTCCCTCATCCTCTCCTCATAAATCATGTGCCCCAGTCCCCTAGTCATTTTTTGTTGCCCTCCACTGAACTCTCTCCAATTTGTCCACATCCTTTCTGTAGTGGAGGGCCCAAAACTGGATGCAATACTCCAGATGTGGCCTCACCAGTGCTGAATAGAGGGGAATAATCACTTCCCTCAATCTGCTGGCAATGCTCCTACTAATACAGCACGATATGCCGTTAGCCTTCTTGACAACAAGGGCACACTGCTGACTCATATCCAGCTTGTCGTCCACTGTAATCTCCAGGTTCTTTTCTGCAGAACTGCTGCTTAGCCAGTCTGTCGTCAGCCTGTAGCCGTACATGGGATTCTTCCGTCCTAAGTGCACTTGTCCTTGTTGAACCTCATCAGATTTCTTTTGGCCCAATCCTCCAATTTGTCTAGGTCACTTGGGACCCTATCCCTACCCTCTTGCATATCTACCTCTCCCCCCAGCTTAGTGTCATCTGCAAACTTGCTGAGGATGCAGTCCATCCCGTCATCCAGATCATTAATGAAGATGTTGAACAAAACCGGCCCCAGGACAAACCCCTGGGGCACTCTGCTTGATACCTGCTGCCAACTAGACATCAAGCCGTTGAGCCTGACGAGCTAGCCAGCTTTCTATCCACTTTATAGTCCATTCATCCAATCCATACTTTTTTAACTTGCTGACAAGAATACTGTGGAAGACAGTATCAAAAGCTTTGCTAAAGTCAAGATATATCACATCCACCGCTTTCCCCATATCCACAGAGCCAGTTATCTTATCATAGAAGGCAAAGAGGTTGATCAGGCATGACTTGCCCTTGCCCTTGGTGAATCCATGTTGACTGTTCCTGATCACCTTCCTCTCCTCCAAGTGCTTCAAAATGGATTCCTTGAGGACCTGCTCTATGATTTTTCTACCTCGCCCTTTTAGTTACATAAGAAACCCTTTATTACAGAAAGACTTACTGCAACTACAGAAATGTTAATTTCAGTTATAATACTATTAATGTAGCAGTTTTTATTTTGAGCAAAGTGATTTTTAGTCTAATAAAACTGATATTTATAATTCAAAATTGTTATGAAAACATACCAGCCCAGGAACAGTTTTCCCTCCTGACCTTTATCGTAAGGAAAAAATGAATATTTCCTTTCCCCCAAAAAAACCCTCCCTCTTTCTGGGTGAATGGGCAAACTCAATTTTTCAAGGCTTTCGGTATCCTTATTTGTCTTATTCATAAATATACCAAAAATTATGCATTACTTATGGATACTTATGGGCCTATATCTATAATAGCGCTTATTGGGAATTGGACACCATTCCATTACAAGTAAGGTAAATAATAAAGATTGTCTGCATATAAAGTAGACCAGTGAGCATGTTCTTCCTACTGAAAGGTCCAGATCTTGGGACAAACAGTCTGTTAGCAGTAACTGAGTGCTATTAATATTCAAATTTCTTGCTGTTTCAAGGTTACATTCCTAATCAGCCATGAGATGCAAAAGAGATACCATCAGTTTGTTTTAAAACACAAATTAAAGTTGTTTAAATTAGCTTATAGTTCAGGTGGGTTGTAGTGTAGTCTAGCACATTAGCTTAATATTATGAACTCTTAGAAAAAAATCTTGTTTGTATATACAGGTCTAGAAAGGAGGCTTTAATTTAAAATAAATTAATCCTAAAGTAAGTGGTAACTGACTAACACCAGTGGTGAAAACGCCAAAAGGTCTTAATACAGTCACAGTCAGTGTTTTTGTCTGATCAATATGCACAGTGATTGCCAGTGGAACAATTGATTTGATCCCACTTAACAGGGAAAATTTTGCAGGCTTAACTGGGTATATTCCTCCTTCAGACAGCATTTTGAGCCTCATTCTTCTCACTGGGATGAGTACTCACTTTCCTAACAGTTATTGCAAAAAGTGGCATGATATCAAAACTTTACTGTTTTTCCTCTACTCTCAGGGAAGAAAGGAAAGACCCTTTATCTGCTCTTGCAAGAGAATATGGAGGTTCCAAAAGAAATGCCTTGCTGAAGTGGTGTCAGAAGAAAACCGAAGGATATCAGGTAACTGCAAAGTTGTTTAATACTGCACACTCTTAACTACAACACATGAAAATCTGCCAAAGGCACAAACCAGACTGCTCCACAGTTCACTGCATAGATCGCAATGAAACTGGCATGTGCTGTACTTTCTTACAGGAACACACGCTACAAGTCCTAACCTAGCTAGCATGAATAGTTAATTAGTCACTTTTCAGCACAGTGCAAATGTTTTGTTTTGTTTTTTAGAGAGGCATCTGACCTTCCATTAAGGCACTTTTAAACAGCTATCATACATATTACACATTTGAAACTCAGATAAAGGAGTAATAATAATCCAGCTATTCAGAGTTCACTCTAGATTTTCATCTGACAAATACAGCTAATGTAACACTTTTGAGTTTAAAAGTAAATTATTAGTAAGTAAATAGTGAGGTTCTATGGGCTTGTCTACACTTAAAATGCACTCTGCTATAGTGCTTCATTGTAGACACTACCTATGCCAATGGGAGAGGTTCTCCATTGCGGTAGGTGATCCACCTCCCTGAGAGGCAGTAGTTATGTCAACAGAAGAATTCTTCTGTCAACCTTGCGCTGTTTACATGGGGACTTGGATCAGCTTAATAATGCCGCTCGGGTGGACTTTTCACACCCCTGAGTGACATAGCTAAACCAACCTAATTTTCTAGTGTAGGATGGGCCTAGGTGAATCTTTCAGGATCTTTCATTTAATATCACTGTTCACAGTGACAGATGTTGCTTATTTTTTGGAGATTGCATTGTTTCACGTACACACTGGATTTGGTTTTCTACTGCATTTTCAGCTTTCTGATCAATTAGTCCTAATGTTGTCAGAACCTGAAAGAACTAACAAGATAGTTCCCCACATTTCTCCCATGATTACATAATTTTTCAGAACAATAGAGGCTTCAGCAAATTGAACCAGGATGTTAAGAGTCTAGCCATGATGTATTTGTTTGGTTAATTGTATTGAAAGTGTTTTGAATTCCCAGCACAGGCCTCAGTTTAAACACTTCACTCTTTCAGTGACTTGAAATTCACAACACAGGAGGAAGCTGAAAGCCACGTAACAGGATGGTTGACCATCCATAGGAAGAGTCGTCTTTCAGTACAATAGAGAGTCTTGTGCTATAAACCCAAGGTGCCCCTCTCCCACTTCCTGTGGCACGTCTGTGATACCAAATTGTGCTATTTCTGAGTGTAAGTTTCTTTATGGAAATGGTCCTTCCTCCTCACTTTTTTTTAAAAGGCAGGATGTTAGATCTTTTTCTTTAAAGCCTGTAAGTCTAAATGGAAAAATATCTGAAGCTTGTTATCTCTAAATGAAAGATGCATCTGACAGCTTCCTTAATTTATCAGGACAAAGTTATAAAGTACTCAAGACCTTTCCTTCTCTGGCTGTGCACACAGACAAGGCCATCCTCTTGTTCACATTGACTAGCTGCTTATAGTCAATCTACATGGACTCTTGTAACCACTAACAGAAGGAGGGAGGGATGACACCTCATGTACTTGCCCTGACAGCTATTACGTGACTCTCTGCATGTGCTGCTGCTGCAGGACTGTATCATCTCATGTCTCTGAGCTATATAAGCCTCTTTCTGAAGGAGCCAGACTAGTACTATTGGAATATATTAAGTTAACTATCGCAGAAGAATGTATTTTGTTTAGACATCCACATTTATCATTTCTCTTTAAATTGTTGTACTGTATTAAATTTGTTTTTCAAGATCCCCCTGAAATTCAATTCTGGTGTACATGTGGGGTGTTGCTGCTGTGCTTTTTGTAATGCTATAAATGTATCCTGAATTGTGCTCACTCTGGGTAGAGATTATCCAGACATCTCAGCCCCATTATCAATACCTTATAAGTATTAGGGTCTCTCTGGGAAACAAAACCTTAAACTTTTACACCACCACCCCTTATGGAGAAAAGACCATTACATAGTAACTTAAAGATAAATAATGGATGGAGAGAATAAAAATAGTCTTTAAAAAACCTCCTAAAGAATAATACTTCGAATATTAGGACTGTAATATTAGCCCCACTTCTGAGCAAAAATTCCTTTCCCTCTATTGGGTCTGTTTCTTTTTTGTCCCTAAAGAAAACCCCAGCCTGATTTCACATCTTCTAAAAAGGGGGTATTATCAAGTATTTACAAGAATTTTTTGTAAAGTTGTCAGTTAGTGGGAGACTTTTAATAACAAGCCTAACCAAAAAAAAAAAAAAAAAAGTTGGGAGGGATTTGAAAGGTGGGGGGTAATAAAGCACAGAAATCAGTACAGCCATACGTCTACCCAAAAAAGGTAAAAAATTGTATTTAGGAAGGAGAAGCTCTGGAGGTCCTGAAGAAATTTAAAATGAATAGCACGTACACCGCTACCTCAATATAACGCCACCTGATATAACACGAATTCGGATATAACGCGGTAAAGCAGTGCTCTGGGTGGGCGGGGCTGCGCACTCCGGTGGATCAAAGCAAGTTCAATATAACACGCTTTCACCTATAACACGGTAAGATTTTTTGGCTCCCGAGGACAGCGTTATATCGAGGTAGAGGTGTATAAAGAGGGGATGTTCTAGTGAAGCCAAACAGCAAATGAGGCATTGACTTAGTGTGCGTGCTTCCACAGGAACATGAGGATCATCAATTTATTTTCCTGATTCTCCCAACTATAATATAAAAAATATATATTCCACATCAGGAATTTCCAGATTTGTCCAGAGACTGGTAATTTTGTCAAGGATACAGATCCCAAAGGTTTATAACCCCCAGGTTGAAGAGGGGGGGGACTCTTAATTAGGTGTTCAGAAATGTTAAAAATCACTGTCTAGCATAATTAAAGTTGAAACAATTTTCAGTAACACATATACTCTAGGTTAAAAGAATAAAACTTTCAAATATGATCCAATTTAGCTTCTAAATTGTGCTGAAGGTTTTAAACTATGATTTATAATGAAACAAAAACCCTTCTAGATCTCTTATCATGCTGTATAATTATTATTGCTTTCATCCTAACTGCATTATCTCAGTTTATAAGATTCCTTATTGCAGTGTCAAAGATCATGGTAGCACAGTATAATTAAACCAGACCATACTTTATCTGAAAACTGCTGCTGTTTCTGATTATGATGGAAAAATTAGAATGTTAGGCATAGTCTCTTCTGATTTAATTTTCATTTGTGTTGAATTAGTTATTGTGATAATGTAAAAGAGGGACTTTTAGTTCTTTTGTGTTCAATTAAAAGTATTAGCATAAGAGTAAAAGTGATTATTCAGACCCTATAAATCTGCATTTTCTTATTCTGTCACTGCTAACTTTAGGAGAGGTTTGTTCAGTCCAGCATCATAATGGTCAACAAAAATCTGCTTCTCCAATTTCATTCTCGCACCTTTTATACTTTTTCCCCTTTGAAACAGGTATAGTTTCTTCTATTAAATAAATATGGGCCAGAGCCCTCCAGGTTGTGAAGTTGATTGCCTGTAACTAGAGCAGGTATTGAAAGGGGATGTGTGTGTAAATATATAAATAAAATAACTGCAGCTGCTCATGTTTGGTAGAGAGCATAGATCCTGGCATAATTGTTGGGCATTTTTTGTTTTGGAAATATTTTATCTGTGAAGCCCCTGGGATGATTTGTCCCAGTAGAAGTGGAGAATAGTTGAGTTTGTGTATCTATAAACTGATGAACTAGACAAACTTAACCAGAAAAAAACAGCCAGATCCAGTCTTTATATTATTTTTTTATTTAAAGTGCCCATACAAAGGGTTCTAAGTCCCCTGCCAATTACAAAAAACAAAATCCAATGCAATCTGCTCGTCCTTTGTACCGAGCAGCAGCACATGGTCAGATACTAAAACCCTCACAGATCACTCTTCACATCCGCTCACCTCCCTCTCTTCAAAGGCCAGATGAAAGAACTAAGCCCTGCAGTATGCCCTGAAAGTATTCATAGAAAACAGGTTGGGCTGTTTCATACCAGGGCAGGAGAATGTTCGAGTCCTGTGACTCTTACAGCGAATGTCTTACTAATATAGTTCCAGTCTCTGAGTACAAAGAGTGGAGGAAAAAACTTTTTTGCCACTATGAAATTATTTTTGAGACTTTTAAAAAACATTTTTACTATCTTAGTAGAAGGCGGTAGAAACTTGCAGTTTGGTGGGATATAGTCCCTCATTTGCAGAGGTGCCTTTCTAATTTCAACCAAATCATAATAAATTTTCACCATAGAATAAAATGGTTTAAAAAACTTGTACATGCTGACACACTGTTTTGTGCCAGGAAGCGCATCATACTCCTATCTAGCAAGTAATTCCACATAATTTGTCTTAAATAAAAACACTGTAGAAAGTGATACATAGAAACTGTTAAAAGAACCTTTAGGGATCGAAAGGAAACACTCAAGTCAGGAAATGCCAATGTAAGATTGCCCTTCCAGTTTTAACTCTGCCTCTTTGTCAGTACATTGTTAGTTTTTGGTAGGATCACATACTATTTTATCCACGGTACCTCTATTTCATTCATTGTGCAGCTTGAGTAGTGTGCAGTAATGATGGAAGGAGTGACACATTGAACAGAATAAAAACAATAACTGAACAGCTCTTATTCACTAAATCTTTTTTTTTTCCCCAATAAAATTTGAATCCATTTCTTACTGTCAGTTTGTTTTTGGAGATGAAAGAATTTACCTCCAGAAACATAATACAAAAAGTGGCAACCACTAGATCCCTGCAAGTGTGCTGCTGGAGGGAGTCCTCTTTAAGATGAGATGTAAAAACAGATGACTTGGCCATTTGCTGTCACTCTAGAGTCTATATCACTTTAGCAAGTACCATTTACATGAAAATTCCAGCTCTGATAAATGCATTTTGTTTATCCATAGTTCCCCCATCAGTTTCAATTAGAAGAAATTTTTTTCCATTTGCAATGTTTTTAGTGGTTCACAGTTTACCCCAGAGCTGGCAGAAGTGATCAATAGAAGTGATTCCAGTGTATGGTTC